AGTTACAAGGGGACAATATACACCGACGGACAGGAGTGACGACTTTTACAAGATAGCTACTTGATACTCAAAACAAGATACAAAAAAATACTATGCAACTAGCAGGATGTCCTACCTTACTATTCATATATGAATCCATATTTCTGTGCATTTATATAAGAACATATGATTTGATTGATAAATATAATTACTATAGAACCAAGTGAACTAATATTGATGAAATTGATATAGCATGATATAGCACATGACATGAACCAATACATAATGAATACATCATTCTGATAGGGCATGTTGATATGAAATAATGACACATGGCATAATGGTTGATAAGAACAAATAACAAAACCATCAGCATGAATGTAACTGCTATGTTTATTTCACTATATAACATAGAGTCTAGATTGATAGACTATTTATTGATTCTCTAATAGATTGATGGATTTCTTTTGCTTTTGCTTAATGAGACATTCTGGTTTTATTGATCTGTTGACTGTAACCATTGCACACGACTGGATCCACATCGGACAAAACCGTTCCCGATCGAAATCAACGACATACACGACACAATCGACACCGGTCCCACCTCGCAACGATTCACCCACCGCCTCGGCGCCTCACTCACGACATAAAACCTCCTCCTCTCGTTCGGTTCGGACGATACGCACACATACGCTCTGAAAATCGAAACCGAGGAAGATCGCAAGCAAGGAACGAAAGAGGAACTTCGGAACTTACCTCTCGGTTCCGTCGAACTTCGGACTGGACGCCGATCTCCAACCTCCTGCTCGCCGTGCCCTAGCCGACTCCGGACGCCGCCGCCGCCGCCAACGCCGACGTCACCGACCCGCCGCCGCTCTGACGCCGACCCCATCGTCGCGTGCGTGGCCTCTGACCTAAGCCGATCGGGCCTTCTTCCCGATTCTTTCTCCCTCACTCTCTTTATATTATATGTATTATATATATTATATATATTATAATTATAATATATATAATATATATAATACATATAATATAAAGAGAGTGAGGGAGAAAGAATCGGGAAGAAGGCCCGATCGGCTTAGGTCAGAGGCCACGCACGCGACGATGGGGTCGGCGTCAGAGCGGTGGCGGGTCGGTGACGTCGGCGTTGGCGGCGGCGGCGTCGTCCGGAGTCGGCTAGGGCACGGCGAGCAGGAGGTTGGAGATCGGCGTCCAGTCCGAAGTTCGACGGAACCGAGAGGTAAGTTCCGAAGTTCCTCTTTCGTTCCTTGCTTGCGATCTTCCTCGGTTTCGATTTTCAGAGCGTATGTGTGCGTATCGTCCGAACCGAACGAGAGGAGGAGGTTTTATGTCGTGAGTGAGGCGCCGAGGCGGTGGGTGAATCGTTGCGAGGTGGGACCGGTGTCGATTGTGTCGTGTATGTCGTTGATTTCGATCGGGAACGGTTTTGTCCGATGTGGATCCATTCGTGTGCAATGATTACAGTCAACAGATCAATAAAACTAGAATGTCTCATTAAGCAAAAGCAAAAGAAATCCATCAATCTATTAGAGAATCAATAAATAGTCTATCAATCTAGACTCTATGTTATATAGTGAAATAAACATAGCAGTTACATTCATGCTGATGGTTTTGTTATTTGTTCTTATCAACCATTATGCCATGTGTCATTATTTCATATCAACATGCCCTATCAGAATGATGTATTCATTATGTATTGGTTCATGTCATGTGCTATATCATGCTATATCAATTTCATCAATATTAGTTCACTTGGTTCTATAGTAATTATATTTATCAATCAAATCATATGTTCTTATATAAATGCACAGAAATATGGATTCATATATGAATAGTAAGGTAGGACATCCTGCTAGTTGCATAGTATTTTTTTGTATCTTGTTTTGAGTATCAAGTAGCTATCTTGTAAAAGTCGTCACTCCTGTCCGTCGGTGTATATTGTCCCCTTGTAACTCACTATCTTGTATCTTGAATTGGGATTAAACTTTAACCCATCATTTAAAGGAAAGTCCATTGGCCCACCCTCCTGAGCGAGTATTTTGCTTCAGCCTACTTGAATCATTTTATAACTAGTCAGCCTTTCTTGCAAGTGACAATCATCTTACATTAATCATGTCGTGAAAATTCTATTTTAGTAACATGCATGAAATGCAATGCTACATAAATTGCTTATCAATTTATATTACTCATTAGCTCTAGAATTATAACTCCCAATTTACATGGTAAAATTAAACAATATTACAGTCAAAATGCTCATAAAAGTTATATCTATAATATACAGAAAATTACATGATGAAAGTTTAGTAAATCAAGAGAAAATGTATTTTTAATCACTTTTTGGAGCGATAAAACTCTAGAAATCAAAATCATTGAATACAGAACTCGAATTCTAGTTACCACGAATAAAAAGGATTTCAGAGGAAAACTAATGGATGAAAAGGCCCCGATCAATTTTCTGTGTCTTCTCTCCTTTTATTGTCTTCTTCCTTCCACGACATGTCACACCGGGTGTGTGTGTGTGTGTGTGGGGGGGGGGAAGGGGGTGGGGGGGGGGGGGGGAAGGGGGTGAATGGTTAGTGCTTAGGTTTTAATTTAATTATATATCAAAACTCTGTTTGTGGCTTAGCACCGCAACGCTGCTGGCCGATTCCCGGCGCTGAGGCATTTAAAACCCGGGCGCCGTTGCTGAATTATTTTTCAAATTTTCACGAGAGTAGTGGCGCCACTTTCCGGTACTTCCCAGCGCCGCATTGCTCCTTTTTAGAATTTTCATATTTTTCAATTAAATCCATTTTATAGCATTTTTGGGTTGTTACAACTTCATTTCAATGTAGTTAGACACGTGAAGTGTTGCCAAAATTATTTGAACTTGCAAAGGAACCACCCAAAACATAGAGAACCACATACCACTTACATTTCCATACTCAATTTGGGAAGACTTTATCATTGATTTCGTCCTTGGGTTACCACAAACTAACATGATGTTGATTTCATTATGGTTGTTGTCGGTCACTTTTCAAAAAAGGAACATTTCTTTGCTTCCAAAAAGACATTTGATGCGATCAATATTGGAATGCCTTTTTTGTGGGAGATTGTTTGCCTTCATGATATTCCCCTCAACTTGCATCAGACTGTAGCACCAAATTTAGTAGTTAATTTTTGTTTGAGTTGTGGAAAAAAATAGAAATCGATCTTCACCTAGGTTCCTTCAATGGACAGATGGGCAAACTAAGGTTGTCAACCACACTTTGGGTAACTTGCTTTGCTACGTTGTGTTGGCTCAACCAAAGCAGGGGTATGAAGCACTCTGTCGGGCGGAATTTATTCTACAGGAAGAAGTCCATTTAACATAGTTTACACGACAAATTTTGAATCATTCAATAGACTGACATTTTACCTCCCAAGTGCTAACGAGTCTATTCAACATTTGGTGAAGGATTTTACTTCCATGTTGAATAACGTGAGGCACCTTGAGTCCTCTAATTAGCCTAATATACAAGACACAGCTTATTGATTTCCATCGTTGGCATAAAACTTTTAACAGTGTAGATCTCGTTATGGCTACATGAAGAACAAAATTGGGCCGTTCACCATGGCTAAGAAAATGAATGATACTGCCTACATTATTTTTTTTTTTCTTTCATCGAGTGGCATCTCTCTTCAACTTCTGATATCTTCAGCATATATGCGTATCATCCACCAGAAAATTCCACTGTGGAGCTTACCAAACTCGAGATGCACTCGTCGCATCTAAATGTTGGGCTCACCCGATGCCACCTCATCCACTTGTGCGGGGACCACTATTTCCTCACTAGTTCTTTGGGATTTGGTGGTGCTCCTCACTGCAATAGATTTATATCAGTTATTATATTTTTTGGCCATCTCAGATGACAACTATCAGATAACTGACGATTTATCAAATTTTGGGTTTTTTTTTCATCTTTGAATATGTTTTTTTATAGTTTCTTTATCTATTTAATATAATTATATAAGGTTTTTTTGCATCTCTTAGTAGCTTTTTATAGGTGGAAATTGTAACTATGTCAGTATGTTGTAACTTTATTTTTAATGTAAATGCTAGTCGTGATTCTCAATTCGCATGTTGTATCCCCCCCCCACCCCAAAAAAAAAAAAAAAACAAAAAAAAAACAAAAAATCTATCATTTTTATCTACTTTTACTTATTTTGCCTTATATTATATATTGGATTAGTATATGTATATATATATTATGCTTTGAGTATTCCATCTAATAGTATTTTTATCAGAAAAATTCTAAAATAGTACATAGACTATTCATATATGACCAATTTAGTCCCCTGATTTTACAAAATTAATCTCAATTTATTCCCAAAGGATTGGATCACTTTTATATATTTGAGGGGCTAAATTGGTGATACTCTGTGACTAAAATGAACATACCCGTATTTTTACATCGGCTTCTATGCACCCGTCATTTTCTTGGTTCTGATATATAAAACCAGTTGCAAGCGTTTGGATATGCTTTTCGTTTCAACTTCATTGGTAATGTTCAGTTCCTTTTTCTTACTTGGAGAACTGTTGTTATATTTTGTGTGACTTCCAAATGTCTTCGTGTCGTCCTCTTAGCTTTAATTGGTTTGTATCACCCGAGTTTTTATTGCACTAATCTTATTATTGTAATATCGTTAATATCAACATTATTTGACTAGGAAAGACCTTTGGGTTGGTGGATGGAAAATACTTAAGCCAGTTATTTTTTTCTTCAGGCAGAGATTTCTCGTCAGGAGGCCAGGCTGAAAATGGAGAGGGAGAACCTCGAGAAAGAGAAGAGCGTGCTCATGGGCACTGCTTCATCTCAAGACAACCAGGATGGTGCACTTGAGATCACCGTCAGTGGCGAGAAATACCGCTGCCTTAGATTCTCCAAGGCCAAGAAATAGGGCTCTTTCATACAGAGTTTTTTCTTTTGCCGGTAAGGGGAATCTTAGAACGTTGTGTTATTGTGTACAGCATATTATATTTATTTCAGTTACATTTGTACCAATTTTTTCGTCGCTTAGGAAATCATTATTAACATCTCTAGGATTGAAACTTTCTTGCTCTTTTCCCTTGTTCAAATTGTTATAATCATTCAAAACAGATTAGGACAGTTTGCCTTCTCGTTCGAGTTAAATACTTGCACTTGCTTTTTGCTTTTCGGCAATGAAAAAATTGCTTTGTTTACACGCGTTGATATGTTCATAACAAGGGCGAAATAGCATGCTCCATTTTTTTTCTTCCTTGTCAACTTATGAAGCTGGAAATTATTTTGATTGACATAGGCTTCATTTGGGATAAATTTTTTGCTGTTTTCTAAAATAATATTTTAGTGAAAAAAATTATGAATTAGAAATTTTTGTACTAGAAAGTCGTTTTAGAAAACAATAAAAAAACGTTCTCAAATGAAGCCATAGAGACAGCTTTCTTATTGCTTTTTATAGTGCAAAAATTATTTGAACTAAAAATCTTTGTACTAAAAAATTATTCTAGAAGCATTAAGAAAGCTGTCCTAGGCTTCGTTTGGGATGGCTTTTTTATTGCTTCTTAAAGTTGTAATAAAGCTAATTAATGAGTTGGTAATATTGTAATAATCATTAATTTAATATTTTATGATTTATTGTTTATTTTTAAAATCTAATGACGTGCATTTGATCCACGTCAAAAGGGGCAGAGAAAATAATGAATGTTTTATTTTAGGATTTGATTTTAAAATTTAAAATTAAAATTTAATTTTAGAAGAAATATAAACCACTTTTAGATTGTAATACAAAAATGCCATTCAAATTTTTACCATTTCAAAGTGAATATATACTGCTCCATTCATCAAATTACCAACAAATTTAATCATATTTTTATTTATATAATTTTTTAGAAATTCGTTTATAATATCCTTAAACATGAGTGAATAATTTATAATTACAATTATGTTAGTATTTTTAAATATTTGATGATAAATATATTGGTGGTTATTGTTCTAAATCATGTGCGGGTCGCCAAATTGGAAGAAATCCTCTTAGGATGATTGAATGATCATATTTTTTTGCAGTTGACTATGCATTCCTGTTCTATAATTTATGTGAACGAGTTTACATTATTTGCAAGCTTGTTTTATTAATGGGAATAGCAAGCAATCTATGAGTGATGTTGAGAAGAGTGAAATCATATTAATTTAGATTTTATTTGGGATAACTTTCTTCCTGATTTTTAAAACAACTTTTAAGTACAAAAAATTATAGTTCAAAAAATTTTAGCACTAAAAAGTTGATTTAAAAAGCTCTAAAAGACTGTCCGAAATGGAGTTGTAATGCATATCAATCTTTCTAATTATTTGATTTACTTCGGGTTTCACATTCGACTTATTTTATGACTTTTTAATTCTAATAATCAATTGGATGTTGCAATCTCTTTGATTTATTTTATGTTTTAGTTGTATTGAGCATAAAAATTTGGGACAGTTTTTTTATTATTTTATAAAATAATTGAAAAGAAAATATTTTTTAAAATTACTGTAGAAATATAAAATATTTTTAAAAATAATGAAAAAATAATGACCAAATAAAAATTTAAGTACTTTTTAAGAAAATTTCTTTATTTTTCATTTATATTATTTCTCAAAGGAGAAGAAAGGAATAAGCAAAATGAACTTCTTCAGCTTGGACATCTTATCTCTCAGGTGGCCGAGGAAGATGAGCCTTGTTAATGAAATTCCATGTCATAATGAAAATGTGTCTCTATGACTTATAAATACTCTTTTCGATGGCTTACTTGATGACATAAGGCCCCTCCCAATTGGCTGAGAGCTTCCTTCAGAACTTCTCAGTGATTTTAAACTTTTTGAGTATCAGATCAAATTCGTTTAAACTCTTTGAGTTAGAATCTCTAGTATAGGAGTATGAGTACCTAGGCCTTTTTTGCTTCCAAATCCAACCTTGCTTCAAGTTTCTTTTAACAAATCAAAGAGCCATCTGTGTGGCTCCTGGTTGGTTTGGGTCCATGCAACACTCTCTTGGTAGGCATGAAGAAACTCTTAGTCTTGATTTGTGGGGCAATAGATCTTGGCATGAGCTATTTACTGCCTTATAGTCAAACATAAAAGAGAAGAGAGTCTCCCCCATGATTGAGTATGATTGGTTTAATAGGTCTTGAACATTAAATTAGGGTTGTCAAAATTGGATTACCAGTCGAGTTCGGGTCAAATATGAGATTAATCAGCTACTGTTTGACCCGACCCAAACCCAACCTATTTTTGCAAACGGGTTAGAAATTTCAACCCGGATCCAACCCATCGGGTTTCCTGGTTAACCCAACCCGACACGAAATCACTATGCGAATCCCTCCCGAATACCATCATCGTTGTTGTTACTCTCGATCCAACTACAGAATGACGAGCACCCTCCTGTCATCGTCGCGTTTTAGGAATGTCGATCCGACAAGAAGGAACGTCATCGAAGAAAGTGAAGAATGGAGGGAGGAGGAAAAGCAAACCCTAGTCCTTAGCCTAGGCATGCGCCTATGGGAAGCATGACCATGCATGCACGAGTGCAAGAGAACTGGCAAAGGAATCAGGTTTGAACGAGGGAATCAGGTTAGATATGGGGGTCAATTTCAGGTTAGTGGATTGACCCGGACACTTGTTTTGTTAGAGATATTCTTAAAGAGGTTGATGATTAGCTTGCTAGTTTGGTCGTTTATTTGAGGATGATGGATAGAGGACAACCTAAGGTTCGTTCCGTTGGTGGCACAAACTAAATTCTTATAAAAAAAATTGTGATTTACTATCGTTGATGATGAATATAGGCAAACCAAATTGGTTGAATATCTTGGGCTAAATAAAATTAATCACTTCTATGGTTAAATGGACTATAGCTATTGTTTTGTCCCACTTTATGAAGTAATCCATGACAATAATCATTAAGAGCATTGCCAATAAAACATTGAAAAATGATCGATAAAATTCTTCCCTCAGAGGGAGAATGAATACATATAAATGATAGGATAAAGTGATTGGTTGGATTTTGCATTTTTCTTGGAGAGTTAGCCAATTGCACCATTGCTTAAGTGCATTTATTGCAATATTTTTAGAGATGGAGTGGCTTTAACACTTGCTAGCTACAGTGAAATTTTTCCAAAAATATTTGGGCTTGCTATAGTATGCTAACATCACAGTAAGACTTACTGATGCATTTTATATTTGGAAGCTTAGAAATTGCTCTTGCTTTCACCATCAACCAATCAAACCATTCCCTTGTATCTTCTTACCTTCTTCCTCCTTATTCTAAAATCTAAAACAAAGATGGTGATTACAAGAGAAGGGCACACATGCACATATATAGTGAAAGAGCGAATTTTGTGTGTGCCTTCTGAGAAATTATTCTGTGCGGATGCAGACGTCGTTTGGAGATGAATCACAACTCGTCACATTACCCGGTACACAACAGTACATAGTTGTACATAGATGCGGTACACAACAAAAAAGTAACGTAAAGCGTAATGATTCACCTACAAACGGTATTTGTATCTGCATAAAATAATTTTACGTGTGCATGAGAGAGAGAGAGCTCTCTTCTTATCCAAACTAATTGGAATGGTGGCCGCCTAGAATCAGGAAGGTTCAGATATTCTTAAGGCTAAGCCTTACGACCCCAAAGTGCCTTCATTGGATAGAACCTTACAAATTTGCCCCCTATAATTGGATTGATAGCACTTGGTCCATCATTTTTAGTGTTAAAAAAAAACCTTGCATCACATATGTGGATCTCGTCAACCTTGATTCTCCTTCCTCTCCCTTAATTATATAAAAAAAGTTCACATGTGCAATTCACCTGGCACTATTTCATTAGAGTTGGGACTTAGAGAGTTCGTGTGGTCTTCAGAGAAATCCTGCCTCAGGTGGCGAAAACAATCCCAAGCCCTAGATATTGGCGCTTTACGAGGGTTTCTTTTTAGCAAAACTTAAATTTTTTGCTCTGAACCAGGTCGGTTTGTCGGGTTGCATGATAAATTGAAAAAAAGACATAAAAAATATTATAATTTCATAAGGTCAAATTGTCATGACTTTGGGTGGTATTGAGGCGTAGAGCTACATCCGGAGACCGCACCAAAGACTTTTGAGTGATAGAAAGATTATTTATGAGAAAATGGAGAGCTCCTCCCTTTTGGTGCCATTCCCGCTGTTGTGGGGGAAATGATTTTGTGCGGACTCCGAAAGCAGAGGATCGCCAGAATTGTTATTTATTTGTTGAGTATTTACTATTTCTTTTAAAATACACAGTAAATATTCAGCAAATAAATAGTAAATCAACAAAAGCCAGCAAGTACTCAATAAATAGTTAGCAAAATTTTATTAAATAATCACTAAATACTAAACAGATACTCACAGCTAAAAAATTTCTTAGTATTGAATATTTACTGCGTATCTAAATATGAAATAAATAAGCATAAAATTCAAACGATTCCGCACAGAAGAATTTATCCCGCTGCGGACACCGGTCGAATCGAATTACAGAGCTTGCACCATTCCCTGCTCGTTCCCTTCGGACTAAGGCAACAGCGGTTGAGATCCAATGGATCGATCTCTTCTTGAACTCTGTAGGTGAGTGTTTGATTCATCACAACTTTTTTATACAAGCAACCGTTAGGTTTTTCCTGCTACTAGATACAGTACTTATGGGGGCCTCTATGTCCTTGGCATGTTTATAATCAAAGCTTTATTAGTCATCAAGACCGTGCATCTGGGTGTTGTGAAGTTTTGAGCAAAACAAAGCATTTTTTTTTTTTGCATCGCATCATCTTCTTATTGTGAGTTTTATGGATTCTAAAAGATATAAATTGCAGGACTGTGATACACTTAACTCTTCAAGGGTTTAACCGAGCAGAAAAACCCTCGCTGAAGAAGGAAAAATTATTATGTGCAGACTCCACGCATAATAATTCTTTCTCAGGGGGGCCCTCTGAAACTTCTTTTTTGAAGCAGCTCCCTATGGCACTTCAGCATTGAGTTGCTTCTACGGTATTACAAGCCATTAAAGAGAGCTATCTGCTTGAGCTAGTAGTTGTAGAATGTTTTCTGATACCTCTTTAGACGTCCTTCACCCTACCTTTTTTTTTTTTTTTTGATATTTGTTTTGGTAAAAACTTGTTCTTCACCCTACCTATTATACCACTGCACTTAAGTAGTTGTGCTGCTGAATATGGCTTTATTTCAGGCAACGGGCAGTTCAGCCTTTCAGTGATGGCTTTTTAGACATAGGGATCAAGTGTCAGGCCCTGATGTTTACCGTATAGAGCTCAGTATTATGATTATTATTTTTTGCTGCTATTACAACACTTAGACGATTAGCTAAAGATGGAATAAGAAATCATTCCAGTTGAGTCACCTGAAATCTGTGGACATCGAAAATTCGCACCCCGACCTCCCCTGCTTTCGGCGGAGTTTTAACTCTTTAAGTTTCGGGGCAAATTTTCATAAGGCAGATTGGATTGTGAATAAGACACCCAGATATTTTGCCCTCATTTTGCTAGGACTTCATGATTTGACTTTTGGTTTCCTATTGGCGCAAATTCCTATAGTTAATTATCTCTCTCGGCAACGAAAAAGAACTTTTGAGAGAGAACAATAGTTTTAGAACTTGCGTCGATTTGCGCACGCGATTTTCACTGGGCAAAATTATAGTTGATTTTGGATAATGCCGATGTTCCGGATGCAACGATGAAATCCGCTTTAGGATTGGACGTCGTTTGGGCAATGCCACGCGTCAATTTTCTCAATTTGCATGTCGTTGCCTCGAAATCTGCGTCGATCTCCTCGCGTGACTTTAATTGAACAAATTGATAGTCAACTTTGGGTATTGGTGATGTTCCGAACACAATGACAAAATTTTTTTTACTATCAAACGTCATTTAGACAACTTTGCGAGTCAATTTCCTCGATTTGCGTGCAGTCGCCTCGGGATTCATCTCGATTTCGCCGGATGAATCCAATTGAACAAGTTGGTAGTGACTTTTGGGTGTTGACAACGTTCCAGAAGCAACGGCGAAATCTATTTTGCGATCGGACGTCGTTTAGACGTCGTCGCGCATCAATTTCGGTTGTCGGTCTCCCTTTTGGACCGATCTCGTCCGATTTGACTACGAGGAGTTCCCTCTTAGGTGAACTCAATGCCTTGATTGCATTGACACAATCCGTTTGGCAATCGGAAGTTGTTTGATCCTTTAAGTGATGAGTAGCGTCGACGCGAATTGCTTAACTCGCCTATTTACCCTTTTTACCCATGGTTTGATGTGTAGGGGGCAACATGATGATATGTAACCATCTTCTTTTGCCTTGTTTTTCCTTGCATGTTTTTTATATTTCTCTCTAACAGTAAAAGCATGATTTTTTGACTTGATTATGGGCAGGGTAACAGTTAATTGTAATGGCTAACTGAATTAAAGTGATGAACAATCTGTAATTTACTAGTGGCCATACACTTGCATTCCTCTAATGCCTCCATATGATTTCTTTTTAAATTGTGTAACCGAAGTGGCAGACTTTGAGACCTTTTTGGGTTCTTGTTATATCAGTTTGCAATCCCTTATTTGATCTTACTCTTATTATGTATAATTATTGAATGTCCGCATGATGACCTGGTGAGCTATGTCCTGTAGTGACTTGACTTCACAGTATTTTATCTTTACCTAATGGCTTGGTGTTTTATGTTTTCTTTAGTGATTGAGCTGACTTTTACTTCCCTTAACATTTGTGCAAAGTATATCAGCGCTAAAATAGAACATTTTTTTTTTTAGTTTCTGTAGGGAAATGTCAATCACATAGCTTCAATCTGTTGAATCTCCACATAACCCCGAAAATAAGGGTGATGAAGGAACACTGTTGTAGGGAAATATGAATATAATTAACTTGAAGATAAAACCATGCAAGGCCTTTCTTTCATTGTTCACATCTTTTTGGTAGGGTAGGAAGCCATCTTGTTGATGCCACACAGTCCCTCCTTATTTTCTGTGCTTCTTTTCATCCTAATATAACCCTTTTCTCCCCACTTGGAGCCCCATGAATTCTTAACAATGATGTAGTCTTCACTCTTGCTTGATCCATATCCAACAGCTGCAACTCCATGATCCAGCTCAGTACCACAAGGACCATCAAAGATCCCCTGTCATCATGAACAAGCATAAATTTATGCATTTCAAAAACCAGATATTATGAAAATGGCCATTTTTTCATATTTAGGCCGTTAATGTTTTATTTTTAGTTTCTTTGATTCTTTGGCATAAGGTTCTATGCGGTGAAAAATTTAGAGTTGTTATTGATCTTACCCCAGTATAAAACTGGAAATCTCTGCCAGAGGCTTCAATGGCAACACTCACTGGCTGGTGCGCCAATGCTTTCAAAAGGCTGGCTTCATTGTTCTCTGGCACATTTTCATATCCAGTAATGGTCACAACTTGCAACGCTCCCTGCACAGAAAGAAAGCAATTCAACCTATTCAAACTGGAAACTCTACACCAGTTGAGAATCAATTCTAGATTTTATTTATTTAGCAGATCACCCTCTTGTCATCACATGTGCCTTCCTCCATGAGATAGGGGTAGTCATCCTCAGTGTGGAGTCCCCCACTTGAGACTATATACTGGAAAGCGTAGTCCATCAACCCTCCATTGCAACCATTGTTGAGTGGCTTGTCACAGTCTATTAACTCCTGCTCTGAAAGTGATGTCAGGTTCCCTGTCATGATCTTGTTTATTCCCTCCACCGCCACCACCGTAGAGAATGCCCAGCAACTACCTGCAGACATCATATTATGCTTAATGAAGGGAGTCAGGTACAAAGCCCTACATAGGGTCCTGATTAGGCACCCATGCTTTACTCGGACGGGTTTTGCCCACCCACACCCACCCATGGTGACTTTCGGGATATCGTATCCACCTATACCCACCCATTTTCCATACTTTTTAAACGCAATCTGCCATGGCCTTGAGGCTTGTTGTACTTTACTCTGATTGCGAACTTTACAAGCCGCATATTAGAGTTTATTGTAGTCGCAGCGTGGTTAAGTGTTGCACACTACATAGTGAGGATTGCAATATTATAAGATATATGGTGATTAGCAATGTAAATCGATTTATCCCCCGTTGTTGAGTACCCACCCATACCCACCCACAAGGCCATGAGCATATCCATACCCACCCATACCCATTAGGTATGGGTGGGTGTAAGTATGAGTACCCAATACAGGGCTTTGATCAGTTATAAGTGTATGGTTCTTAGCCAACACCAGTGCAGATTCTTTTTTTCCATTATCAAAACTTGAACAAGTTTTTTTTCTACAATTTTCATGTAACCAGTGCTTACCACATGCTCCCTGATTCTTGACAGGGGTGATGGCTCCTTTCTTCCTCCAGTCCACAGACTTTGGCAAGTCTACAGCATTCTCATACATGAATTCTCTTTTATCACTTGAAGTGGCTTCCTGTCTTCTCGTGAAGTTGGGCTTCAGACCAAGATACATCATCTTGAACTCCTCATGACTGAGGTCAGCAAACTCATTGAGTCCAAGCCAGTAACTGGTTCTCTTCTTGTTTGTCTCATCAATATGCTTTAGATTATCCTTGAAAACTTCAAACCTTCTCATCATCTCCTTAATGGTGTCATATGACTTATTGTGCTTAGCCATCCATGATTCAAACAGATCAATCAGGCTATCATGGGACGTCAGGTCCCCCTCTCTGTAGCCCACAATGGAGAATTCGCTGGGAATTGCAGAGCTGGAGAAGAGGACGAGGGAGAAGAAGAGGAAAGATAGATACATGATGGAGGACTGCATGTTTCTTTACTATGGTTTATGGTTCTTAAGCATTATATATTGATTTGTATTGCAAGTAGCTTATACGCAAAGTGTTTGATGCGGTGGCTTGAAGCTTGTTCATGAGGAGGCTTTGGTTTGAAGCATGGCTGCGTCAAGTATCGTACTGTTTCTCAGTACTGTATATGCATTAGCTTTCAAGGGATTGGCAATAGTTATAGTTCTCATGAAATACTTTTTTTTTCTTAAATTCCTCTCATTATTATCATCATCATTAGTCTTATCTCAACTACTTTAATCAGCCTAATTAATCATTATACGCCATTAATCTTTATTATATTATTTTCTACATGATCAAATCATATTTTTATAATTTAATTTTTAAACAATCTATTATTACTAATTTTGCCACGCACCAATTTTAATGATCTCATTTTTGCTATGTTGGAATTATCCACCAAAAACTTCTTTATTGTCCAGTATAGATGACATATAATATAGTTGATTTAATTACATTTTTAATTAAATTTAATTATTGCGTAAACTATATAAATTCTATCATCATCTAAATTCTTTTTAATATGATAGATGCAAAGGGTTTAAATTTTATCACATAAAATAATTTTTTTTTTCTAAATATTCTATCAATTTTATAATATTTATTTGGACTGTGATATCATAGATAGATATCTTTAACTAAAAACATGCAAAATACCCAAAGCAATAAATACTATTTGTTTCTTTCCTTTTTTTATGTATGTTGGGAACATCCTAACATTAACAAAAGAGTCATCTTAGATGATTTGATTAGGAGAGTAAATTTAGTATATCAAGGCTATCTTAAACAAAGGTAGAGGTAAATTTAAAAAAAAATTTGATTAAAAATATTTTAAATTTTTTTTATTAAATTTAAATAAAAATTCACTCTTAATAGAATTCGACTCTTAATAGCACATAAAAAATCTTTTAAGAAAAAAAAAATTAAACTCTAAAATATTAAAGCATCTTTTGTGTAATAGTTAAAATTTGATTAAAAATTTTTAAAGAAATTTTGAGATAAATGACCTCTTAAAAAATTGCATGATCTGAAACGAACAATATCTCAAAAGTTAGGAGATTGTGCTGTTACATCTTGATTATATTATCTCTTATTCAATTTATTATGAATTAAATATTAAATATATATACTATGAATAATTCAAATAGTTTAAATTTGGATCGTAGAATGTTACTCATCATTCATTTGGATTTTATCTAAACAAGAAGATAATCACACATTCCCTGCATGAGAGAATCTTAAAAACCCTAAACCCTAATAATGGAATGAAGGATACTCATTAAGGGTTTATTTGGTGCACAACAACCTTCTAGAAAGTTTTGATTGCAGAGTTGTGAAAAATATATTTATAATTTTGAAAGTTATTACAAATGATACAAATTTTTTTTTCTTAAGAAAAGTTGAATAATAATTTTCTACTATAATTTTTTTTAAATAATCAAATAAATGTGTAACTGTATTGAAAAATAATACCGACTGCAAATTGCTTCAAAGAGACCTATCATCTGCCAATTACTCACAGGCTCATAACATTCATTCCCTCATGTAAACAAAGAAATGAAATACCCTAAAAATCTATAAATTCTGTTTCTACTTCTTTGCTGTTTGTTAGGCAGTGAATACAGCTCCAAAATTTTTCCAAAAATTAGTGAATTGAGTGCCGGTTGAAATCAACTAGCAGACTGTTAAGTCTAAACACGCTCTGTTCTAATTTGAGCTGACATAGCCTGCAATTTTGCGGAGGATCCAATGTAATATTGATATACTGAAACAGATACAACCCTGCAAGAAAAAATGAATAAACTTCCATACTGCCAAAACACGCATAAGAATAAGTGGACAACGAATAAGTCTTCGTTTGGGATGACTTTTTTGCTGTTTCTTAAAGCAGCTTTCGAGTATAAAAATTTTAACTTTTGTACTAAAAATCTGTTTTAAGAAACAGTAAAAAAGTCAGTCTCAAACGAAGCCTAACTAATAAGAATGTTGGATAGTTGTTCATTAGAAATCAGGTACAAGATCGGAGCTACTTACGTTGTCCCAAGAAAGAAGGCAAGAGAAATATTGAATCCAAAAAGAAAGACCGAAACGATTCCTGTCAAAAGCATTGCCACAGAAGTTGCATATACCTGCAGACATTATATAGTTTATGTTTCCATTTAACAATCAAACAGAGGATTAATTATTCTGTGCGGACGCCGAACGCCGTCTCGAGACCAATCAAAATGCGCCACGTCACCCCTTCGCTCGGTATTGCGGCTCGGTGTTGCTCGGTACCGCTGACGTGACGCATTCTAGTTGGTCTTCAGACGGCGTTCTGCATCCAGTCTCCGAATATAATAATTTCTCCAAATAGAGGCCTTCACATTCATTTGAAAGCTCCCTTGTTATTACAGGGATAAATAATACTTCATGAGGGGCCTAGGAAATGTTTGATTGATCTAAAGTTATTAGTTGCTTGAAAAGAAACAAGTTTTATTATCTAATTAGCATATTCATCAGAATTACCTTCACAATATTATCAGCGAATTTCATTACCATAGACACTGCGATCCCACTGCACATAAATGATTTAAATCAGGAAACATACATTATACCCGATCATTCAAGCAAGGAGCTTTTTATGTAAGGTAGATACCTCAGGGCATGGTTGAGAATCATACAAACTGTGATGAAAGTATATCCATGGAAGAAGCCGCTGTGCAGATGAAAAATCAATTGAATTACAAATAAGATTATGGTCTTCAAGAAGAATAACAGATCTAGACATGTTACTTCGACTTACTTGTTGACAACTGCATCAAAATCCTGAATGAAAATTGCAATTATGTTGAATAACATTCCAAAGATGTACAGCCAAAAGTTCTGTACGTTTATATTTCTTGAAGGGCGTTTTTTAATAATAGCCTGCAACGGCAAACTCAGTATTAGTCTGCGAAATATATTTAGTTATTATTCCTAAATGTAGAACTAATTTTCCACTTCATAGAGATTTACCTCTGTGTAAACACCAGCAAATCCACTTAGGAGTGCCATGACCTGTAAAACAATTTTTGGGGTTATAAACACCAGTAGATCCACAAAAGAAAGGTAACAACGAAATATATAAAAATTTTACTTACAACAGCCATCAACCAACCCGGTAAAGACGTTTGAAGAACATGGTCAGAGCTGAAAAGGAAAAGACACAAATCTCCATATCCCGTACATATAAAAAAACAAATCAAATAAAAGTATATTTTGAAATGCAATGAATTTTTTAATAAAAATATAATAAAAGAAAAAACTTAGTCAAATTACTCCCTAATACTAAGGAAAAACTTCTAGTTGATTGCCTAGTTGAACTACAGGCTTAAGTGAGAAAAGCCAATTCATCTACAGCTGGGACTTGCACATCAAAGGCATGGTTTCCTCAATCCCACCATTCGAAAGCCATAGAACTTTCAGCAGGAAAAGCAACAGAAGATTTCTTCCAGTTAGTGAATCCCAAAAAATCCCATGGCAATGAATGATAAATCCTTATAGGAAACCTTAGAGCTCCAAATTACCATATCCTTAATTATGATATGAAATCTAATATATGCAGGCCATTTAACTAAGCATGGATCATAAAAAGAAGAGTGTGTAGATACTGATCAACTTATGCTTACGAGGAGTTCAGTTGAGTTGTAGTGCACCCTGCGAATAAAAAAAAAAATGCTGTCCACTGGAATTGACTTAGCCTGAAACAAAATTATAATGAGGGAAAAATGCTTCCAAAGTATTTATTACGAAATCAAAGAATTCACTTACGATAATTTTCTTACTTCCTCTTTAGTATAAGACGATACAAAACACCAGTGGTAATAATATTTAGGTTCTTCAGTATCTGGTAAGCAGGGGCATCCACATACGCAAAGATGTAGTACTAGCATAAGAGGGAGCAAATTAGCGATGATACTAATGATTGGCGTAGAAGACTTCCATCATTTATTAAATGTATATGTTCAAACCTGCAGTAAGTTCTTGATGAGGTAGAGTGCTGCTGGAATTGGGTAGACACTAACTTCATCAAATGATGTACTTAACCTGTGAAAGTTTCCAATAAGATTGAATAAAAAAAGTTTAGTTTCATCCAGTTATATTGAGAACTCTTGATATCTGCCAAGAAAAGAATGTATTAGACTATCAGAAAAAAACAGAAATAAGTAATCTATTTGAACTCAACAGTGGTGGAGAATAAATCTACTAAAATCTTTTTTTCATCTGATGATATCTAATTCTGAGTTCAAAACTTTAACATAAAGAAGCTTTTGTCTGACTTTGTAAATTAAGGAAGCAAATATCCCTAAAGCTAAGTGATATGTGAGTTTGCTGGTGTAAAAAGAAAAAGATACTAAAGGGACGCAAAAATTAAAACAAACGAGTATAGAAATCACTCAATAATGCATGGCATTTTATGATCTAAGATTTCTAATGCATACTATTATGATAAAATCATGCAACAAGCTGAAAAATTCACGAGTCATAAACTCTTATTCTTTTATCAATTATTTGCTATTTTCAATAGAAGCCAAAAAAATGAAAAAAATCAATTCAGACACAAATCAAATGGCCTCTACTAGAAATAAATAATAGAAATTCAAAAATGAAAAAAAACACATCAACCTAAAATCCATGCACTTGTTGTATTAAATATATGAGTAAAGTTAATCACACGATTTATCCCATATAGAAACTTACCAAAAAATAAACCTCCATTTGTACAAGGATATAATCTCTCCCACAAATTTTCAATTTGCTCACTTGATCGAGCTGTCTTGCAGAAGTAGAAGGAACAATATATGCAATAAAATGTTTATGCAAAATTAAATTGATTGAGATTTCCACGTGCTTCATACTCCTATTTATAAGCATAAATTCCTTGTTCATCGATCACAATAGAACAAAAGAATAGCATGTGCTTGGTTGGCAACAAAAGAAATCCCAAAAACAGAGGAAAAATCCTACTTTAGCAATTGTAACCAATTATAGCTAAAGGCAATGACCGATAACAAAAAATCACAAAGACAACGATAAGAATAGCAAAGCAGAAGAAGCCTAAGCCTACATCAAGAAGTCGCAAGGAAGATTGCAGACCTTCTAAAATATCACAATAAAAGCTTCATATCCTATTGGAAATGGATGGGTACAAATAAATGTAGCCACAATAAATCACAACCAAGAAGCAGTGGAGTCATTCAACAAAATTAAAAGGGCCATAAAATCGAATGACTATAGAATCCAAAGAACTTCAAGAAACAATGGGGAATAAGCATATCACTACAAAGTTAGGGTTCCAAGGCATATTCATACAAACTCTTAGAAAATTAAAAGGTCCTACAGAAAGAACCAAAACAACAAAAACAAATTAAGAAAAAAAATCATATTTTAGGGAATTCGTCTTAACATTCACATTTTGAGTTATTGATAACCATAGACTTTGAGTTTTGCATCTAAGCATTAAATGCTATAAATAAGGCCTTCAATAGCAATTTTTAAGGCAGCCTCTAAGCACTAAAAGTATATTTAAGTTCATATAGTAAGATTTAAAAATCCCAATTAATGCACCTCAGAAAAATACTCATACTTGTATTCTTTATGTGATAGTTGAGGACTCAATTCGATTATTACAGAACTACAAAAAATTGTATACAGGTATGTTGAAAAACGTAGTCGTAACCTTGACTTAACAAAATTGTAAATATGACTAAAAAAACTACCAAATCCCATACTAAATATTGTCTAAAACTTGATTCAATTGATTTATTTGTCAATATATTGGGGTTATACACGATGGAAGAAAAGCGTGATAAAAATTATGCAAATGAATGTAAGGAAAAGCTTCTCATAAGTATCAATCAAAACCTTTAAGAAAAAATAATTGGTGCAGACAATATTTTGAAATGAACAAACCTATTATTTTCATTGACACCTTCAGTTTTCCAGATCCTGAAAAGGGCAGCAAGTGACAATGCACACTTCAAAGCTTCTACCTAATAGAGGAAAGTCATTTACTTCAATGCAAGATAAAAATAAATATAAATAGCTAAAAGGATTTGCAGTATATGTAACAGGTCCGCCTAAATGCTCTTTTCATATAAATATATGTTTCTTTATTCCACAGCGACTAAAAATGATCCTTTCAACTTAATCATAAGTATGTAGATTAATTCCAAAAGACATGATTCTTACCGAAAAATTTGCGGTTGTTACACTGTATTCGTACTTTCCAGCTCTCTTGGACCATACAATCAATATTGATTGGGAACTTGTCAGCAATGTAAGAGCAGCTATAACTACTGACCTGCATAGAAAATAAACAAAAAAAAAATCTCAAGTGGCTTTATCCTTTAATGTTACCAAATTGCAAATGCTAAAATCCTCCCCTCCGCGTTTCTTTGTTTTTTCTTACTTTAGCTTCCAGTTGGGTTTGTTTGATGAGCTAACAGTAGAGCCGACCACCTTATTTGCAGAATCTACAAGGTCAGAAGCTACCAAATGAGAGGGAAATGAAGTAACTCAACCTTAATAATATATACCGGATAATTACCCATCAGTAAGATCTTCAAGTTTTAGCTTGAGGTACAACAATGATGTAGCACCTATGAAAGGTTTCTCATGCAGAGCCTTTAAATCATTTTGAGATTCTATATAGTCTTTTTCCTGAAGCAGCGGGTCATCAATAATGAAAAATGATATCCAAGATCTAATATAATACTGAAATAATTTAAAAGAAGACTTCTAACAAATGTGATTCACATGAAAAATGCAAAAAATATCAAAATAGAACTCTATAATTAAGAAATAACAGTAAATTTTCTAATTCACATAATCCATACAGAGAACTGCTATCTGAGGTTAGGCTGGAGATCAATTCTCTACTTTTCCATGTAGCAATCTCAAAAAGGAGACCATTGGGAAAAGCAATTATGCATAATGATTCTTAGTTTGTTTCTTAGTTCATTGCATGTATAAAAACATAGCTATGAGGTTGACTTCTATGCGAGGAAGATGCATTCTCAAGTTTTTTGAATAGTTTGTTAGGTCTAACTCATTACTACATGTTTTCAACTCTACCCATGCAATTCTAATTAGCACATATGGAGTTCAGAAATCATTCCCATGACATAAATTGTTAATCATTCTTGCTATTTTTACTTAGTTTTGATTTACTACTTCCTGCTATGCGTTCACCGTAATGATGTCGCTTTGTTTCCTATTGTTGCCATTGTGTTACTACTGTCATGTATCCAGCTGATGTTCCTGAGTTAATGATTCCCACTATCCGCTATATCACATATCTCCTCTGCTACCGCCTAGTTCACGCTACCTACCTGCTATGCTATTACCACTAAGTTATTGTTGTTCGCCGCCTGCATTACAGCTAGTTGTTGTGCTGCCTTTTGAGCTCTGTCTAGTTCATGTTTCGTGTGTTGCTTTTTCCTAATTTTGTCTGTTCCTCAAGTAATTCAGAAAGTGCTTAAAAAAAAAACTTCTACCACTCAAATTCCAAGGGAAGATACATTGTATCGGCATGAAGCCTGGTTCTACATTGTGTTGATTTCTATCATTCTTCTTATCTTTTTCTACAAATGTGCTTCAACTATTGTCAAGTGAGATGCCAGGATTTCTTCTTGAAAGTGATCTTAATTGTTGCTAAAATTTTATTTTCATTGGTGATTCTTGTGATATTTTTTATTTTGTTGATTTTTAACTTATCTTTTGGGACAAGCAAAATATTTCTGTTGAATATACATTAAAAGTGACAAGTTTTTACTAAATTATGAGCTAGTAACCTATAGATATAAAATTTTATGTATTTTAATCGTGTATCTTATACCAATTTGCATTAGTAATAATACAACCTTAAAGACCTAAAATAATACCTTAAATTATAATCTATGATGCCTTAGATGAGCTTATATGAACAAGTATATATTTAAATCGTGGTTTAAGGCTTTAAGATGAGTGCATCATTCTAACTTCATTGTAGGTAAAATATAGGATTTGTGCCGCCATTCACATGATTTTAATGAATTTAAGGTTTCTGCAACAAATGGTCAAATAATTCATCAAGAATTTAACAGTTGACATGCCAGGCAATTTTCAAGTTTTAATCCTCTCGAGATTTATTAAATCTGAATTGGCAGGATTAACCAAATCCTACTAGAGTAAAATCCTGCTTGAAACTAAACAGAAAAAATCTAACCAAACTTCTCAAACATCTTTTTCCCCTTCACTTGCATTGTTATAACAGAAACTTTAAAATTAACTTAACAAAATAGTAGTTTGAAATTCATAATCAAGCTACTTCCAACCTAAAATGATGAATTGAACTTATAATTAGGAACTTTCAATCAACAAATTTACCACTATGGAATTCTGATTTTTATCCAACCACGTGTGCTTTAAGGGGCTGTTTGGATGCAGGATTTCGACCGGATTTGAAGCGGATTTGAGCAAAATCCAGCCAAACGGCCAATGCAAAACCAAATCTCACGGTAAATCAAAGCCGCAGTTGACGGAAAATTTTCTCTTTACGTGGTAAATCCCGGATTTACAAAATCCTTTGGTTCGGCGTATTTACGGGATTTGGCCGAAGAAGCGCACGAAAGGGATAAAGTTACCTTCACAGCAAGCGAGTTCCCGTTGTTTCTTCCGATAAAAAAATGTCGTAACTTCCGCTCCAACAGGAAGGAAGCGTCGTCCAAGGAGCGAAGTCGAACAGCGACGAAGGAGCAAAACTTTAACACTCCTGCGAAGTGCGAAGAAACAAAGCCCGTAAGGAATAGAGAAGAAGAGGCAAAATCTACATTCCTCTAAGTTATTGTTGGATAACTTAATTAATATAATTTAAAATATTTAAAATTAAGTAAAACAAATTAAATTATCAGTTAAATACTTTATTATTTAAAAATAACTAACATGATTAAATATGATTTTAAATGAAAATAATTATTATAAAATATTATAAATAATAATTAACCCCTTAAATCTTTTAATCACCTTAAATGTTTTAATTATCCAAGAAATGCATATCAAATATTTTAATCGTCTTAAATCATGAATTGAATAGTCAAACAGTCACATAGGATTTATCATAAATATTGTCAAATAGTTTTCCAGATTTAACCCCCTCAGGATTTCATAAATTCAAATTTAGAGGATTTACGAAATCCTACTTAAATGAAATCCTGGGTGTTACCAAACAGCCCTAAGAGTGAACAAACAATATATTAGAAAATTTTCAATATGTAGATAAGGAAAAAAAAAAAAGAAGCACGAAATAAAGCAAGTGGAGTAGTAGGAGGCGCCAAAAGAACAAGATTAATCCCTAGATAAAAGCTACCTTCAATAAGAGAATGAGTGTCGAATGCTGCGACTGTGATTCTGCGAAGATGAAGGCTACGACCTGCGAGAATGAAGACCTCTTCAAACTAGCTTCGTGTCGAATGCTGCGACTGCGAAGAGCCGAAGACGGAGGTTGCGAGAAGGCTGCGAAAACAAGGGTCGCGTCTATGAAGAAGAAGGATGTGAGAGGGCTGTGAAGATGAAGGCGGCAACCTCTTGAACGTCGAATGCAACTGGAAAGATGAGATTCGCGAACGCGGCTGCGAAAGGCAAAGTGAGAGCGATTTATATGGCGGGATCGGCTATCACGCTCAGGATTGATAAAATTAGGAAAAAAAGATTATATCGGCGGGGATGTATGGTGGAGATAAAATAGTTATCTGTCTTCCTCTTAAACTTAGCAATCTTTGTATTGTTGTCTTCTTGATGCCCAACTGATTAGAGAAGGAAGACAGGATGAGAAACAATAAATAAAATTATTAAAATTGTTGTGTCCAGAGTATTCGCGGCGGTAGAGAAATATAAAGTTTAACGTCTTAGCGTTGTACGAAAATTCTACATGCAATCAGATAAGAGAGAGTGTCTAGCATTTATGAGACACCAAGAATTTTTTATGTGGAAAACCCCTAAAAAGGGGGAAAAACTACGGGGCATAGCTCAGTTTGAATGAATCCACTAGTATTGCAGTCGATTACAAATGAGGCCCTTCCTTGGGAGAAGGCCTTAGCTTGATGTACATTTTATAGAGTACATTACATGATAGGAATACAAAGAATCACTATTGACAGTTCGTTTGGTCGGGAGGACCGTAGTCGGCGGGCGACGGAGGTCGGAAGGCATGTAGTCGGTGGGCGATGTAAGTCAGGAGGACCGTAGTCGGTTGGCGACGGAGGTCGGAAGGACTGTAGTCGGCATGCGACGTAAGTCAGGAGGACCGTAGTCGGCGGGCCACAGAGGTCAGAAAGATTGTAGTTGGCGGGCGACAGATGTCAGAAAGATTGTAGTCGGCGGGCGACATAAGTCAGGAGGACCGTAGTCGGCGGGCGACGGAGGTCGGAAGGACAGTTGCCTTGCGAGGGAGGTTTGAACGACTACGTCTGACGATGAAGGTCAGAAGGACGGCGTCAGGTAGAAGTCCAACAATTGAAAGAAATCCATATTCGAATATACGTCCAGCGAAAGTCCGATAACCGGTAGAAGTTCGACATCGGGTAGAAACTTGGCGAAGAGTGAAGGTCAGGTGTCGGGTAGAAGTCCGACGTCTGTTGGTGGACGAGGAGAACTCTGACATCACTTGGGCGGAGTTTCGACGTCAGGAGGGAACTCTATCGTTAATTGAGAAGAATTTCCGCATCCCATGAAAGTTGGGCAGAATTCTGGCATTCTCCCGAATATTCGGCAGAGTTCCGGCGTATTCAGGCGGCGGGAAGCGCTCCGGTGGTGGTCGAGGAGGAGAGGATTCTCCTCTTCTTCTCTTATTCTTCTCTCTCTTCACTTCCCCCATCTTTGTGAAGAATGAGGGCTCTATTTATAGTTTTTCTGGAGTGGCATGGCTCATAAATAGTCGTGAGATCAGGGGCGAATAGGGAGTGGTTTGAATAGACGGCCGATATTGAACCTTTCGATCGTGCACTGTTTGCTGGACATTTGGAGGCCTTAATGATGTCAGAATTTGGAGATCTTGGGCTCGTTGGATTCGTCTCGTTGAGCCGCTCGATTCGAGTATAAGCTCGTTAAAATCTAAGGTCGTTTGATAACTCAAATTGCGGTTTGAACCTTCCAACGGTACTTCGGTTCCTTGATTTGGATGCTTTTGGGCTCGGAGTGGGTCGAATTTGGTGTCGTTGATTTTGTATTTCCGAGACGCTCAGTCTGACTATAAGCTCGCTGAAATCGGAGTTCGAATGCTCTTGATTTTAATTTTTGAAGTTTTCGGGTTGGGTTTTGCATCGAGATTCGTGCCCAATCAAGATAATTTCATGATAACGTATCAAAAATGTTGATGTAGTCTATATGAATTATCAATTAACTAGGCCTGCCATAGTTTTGTTCAGAGCTTCAGATATATTAAATGTCCCATAAATATTTCCAAGTATTCCATCTTAAACATCACCAGATCAGTTTTGTTGGGCAAGATAAGATAGAGGTCTAAACACAAATTTTTTGCTCATTTGAGAAAACTGGTGTTGCTCAAAATCAACTCATTTACACCCCTAATGGTGAGGCAGGCAAAGCATTAAAAATGACTCATGAGACCATCATCATCATAACCAGCATCAACAAGGAGGAATGAAGGAAGCTTTTCGAGAAGAGGTGGATGGCGAGTCGAGAGCTTCAAAGGAAGAATGAACATAGGCAAACTTGTTCGGAAACATCTGGGAACAGCGAATCGAAGAGTGGGAACAAAGGCAGGACTCCAGGAGTTGTTTTGGGCGATAAAACATGCGTTTTGCATGAATGAGCAAATGAAAGAACAAAACGGTGAATTAAGGGCTCTTTTCGGCAGATTTACGATGGAATTTTTTGTCGGAAATCTAATTAATTTCCATCGTAAATCTACCCAAATTTTAGCCCAAATTTTAGATACAGGAAAAACAAAGATAAATAAAACAAAATTCATTTTTTTCATTAACCATTTATCTTTACATACACATGTATATATTAATGTATAGCATTATGTAGAATGTAGATAATAAAACCAGCACAAAATGTCAGAATCACTTTTAGTTATGACTTAGGGATAGTTTGAGACGATTTTTTTACTGTTTCTTAAAGTAATTTTTTAGTGCAACACTTAAATTTTTTATACTAAAATATTTTAAAAACTAATATTAAGAACTAGTACCAAATGCAATAAAGTAATACGGAAAAGATTTCAGTAAAGGGGAAAAATCTCAAACAAGTTTCAGAAGAATTTCAGTGTCAGTAGACGAGGTGAGTAAAATTTTGTAACTTTCAAATCAAATACCTTAAAGAAGTTCGATCATGATGTAAAAAGGAAAATAGGGAAAGGCATGACCCTTGTGATATAAAGAACATAAATCACTTACCAACGAGAGAATCAGCAATCTGAATGCTTTCAATAGAGTTAGTGTAAAACTTCAAAATCGAGCCCTTTTTTTATTACAGCTTTATGCAAATCAATTCCACAAAAGCTTCTAAAAGAATAGGTCGAACTCAAAGCTATGCTAGTTCGGCGGATTGATGGGATATGCCCGAAGAACGCGCGAAAGGTAGAAAGTTACCTTCAAAGATAGCGAGCTCCCGTCCTGCCTTCCGATTAAAATGTCAAACTTCCGATCCGACAGGAAAAGGGGACGTCGTCAAAGGAGCGAAGTCGAACTAATTATGATAATAATTAAATAATTATTATTAATAATTAATCACTAATCCTTAATTAATTATAATTAATAAGTTAATTATAATTATAATTAGTTAGTAATTAATTATAATTAATCGAAATTAATTATAATTAATTGAACAATTATAATTAACAATTAATTATTAATTATAAATTAATCATAATTAATTAACTAATTATAATTATAATTAAATAATAATTTGAATATAATTAATATTAATTAAGATGGATTAAGCCTCCCCCCTCCTCTGTTTACCGGGTTTGGCCAAAGAAGCGCGTTCAAGGGAGAAAGTTACCTACACAACCAGTGAGCTCCTGGTTCTTGAGTCCGATCAAAATGCCGTAACTTTCGATTTATATGAAGGGAAGGTCGGTCGAAGGAGCGACGTCAATCAGCCACGAGGAGGTCGGGGTAGCCGCACGGAAGGTAGAGAGTTATCTTCACTGCAAGCGAGCTCCGGTCGCTACTTACGATCGGACCAATAGGGAAAGTCGTCGAATGAGGTAGGCAGGGGCGGATACATGCTGGGGGCCCTGGGGGCACGGGCCCCCACTGGAATTTTAATTAAGCTCTTATTAAAGCCATTTATTGCTTACCTAATTTTCATTAAGATCAGATTTTAGATTTTTTTGGAATAATATTAACGCTGGTCCTGTGGTGCGCTGTATCTGCGCCTGCCCTAGTACGAAAGGGCAAAGTCGCGATATCTAGAAATAGGGCGATTCTGGCGAAGCGGCGAAGGAGTAAGGACGGCGGAAGAAGCGCTGTTCCGGTGGCTTGCGACTGGACGGCGGAAGAAGCGCGAAGCGGCGAAGAACGCCTGGATTCTAGCGAAGCAGCATACTTCGCGACTTTGCGTTGACCTTGCTCTGCTATTCCTCCTGTTTGATAGATTTGAGGAATCAAAAGGTATTACTATTAGATTTTGCTCTATGCTTTCATGGCAAATTTCATTTAGGATTTGATTTTAGAATTCCAGCAAAATGCCAAAATGCATTTAGGACTTGATTTTTTACCTAGACCGTTCCTATTCGCAATGCATCTAGGACTTGATTTTAGAATTGATATCATATTTTTCG